ATTGGCCTGATGTGATTGCAGAGGAGCTGGGACTCAGTGCGGGGGAAACACTTGCTCCACCAGGTGACCAGGCACCTGCAGGGGCCATGCCTGGGTGCTGGACCCACAGCTTTGTCCAGCCTCGTCCAGCTCTGGTGTGGTCTCCTTGCTGGTTCCCAGGGTGCTAAGCCTCCTAGTCAGATGGTATGAGAAGTGAGGGCAGTGGTGAGGTTCCTGTGTAGCTGCACAAAGCACAGCTGGCCAGGGTCAGCGCACGTTCCCCACAGGTCCCGTGATCTGGAGGAAACTCGGGGTTTGTGGCTGTTCTGCATGTGTATACGGTGCACACCTGTGTGTGCTGCTGCGTGGGGTGTGATGGCTCTGCTGGCTTGCACCTGGCAGTCCCACCCCTGCCTCTTCTCCTGTGAGGAGGGACATTTCCTTGAGGACTGAATTTCACTCTTAAGCGCCAGATATGAAAATCTTTAAAAATTAGAACTGGTGGGGTCAAGTGCAGGTGACTGCGTGCTGGCCTGCAGCTGCCTGGCTTGGGTTGGGTGGGTAGAGGCTGGCAGGGAGGGGGTGCCTTGTTTTCTGTGCCTGTGTGCTTTCAGATCATCCCAACTGACTTGCATTACGTGTGCCCTTCTCTTACCTCCCCAATTCCCAGATGCTCAGGGAACAAACCCTCCTCCATCCCCAATCACCCGATCCCTACCAGAGCCCTTTTGTGCCCCTAGGTTTCTGCCCAGGCCTGGGGCAGCAGAAGGCTGACTCATGCTCTGGGTGTGCTGGGGGCTCCTCCCGCCTCATTCTTTCCCACGCCAGCACCCTGGGGTGGGGCCCCTGCTGCTGGTCATGATCTGCACACCAGTGCTCTGGCAGTCCATCACGTGGTGGCTCTGCACACGGGCTTGCCTGGCCTCCCTTACCACTTGGCCCAGCTGGACCTCACCTTCCTCTGAACCCACTTGCTCCAGTTTAGGACTCACCTGTGCTCTGGCCCCAAACACCAGTTCCCCAAGAGTTTGGTGGTGTCTGCATCACAGGCCAGTTAGGAAGACCAGCAGCCCCCTCCTCCATCCACGGCAGGGTGGGCCTGGTGAGTAAGTGTTCCCAAAGCCCACCCACAACTGTTCAGCCTCATCTCTCTCCAAAGAGTGGTCCCCTCTGGTCCTGAAGCCCTTCACTAGCGTGTCTTCCAGACCCATAAAGGACATGGAGAGTGGATGAGACTGACTAGCTGTTGATCTGGCAGAAGTCACTGCCCCTGGTGAGCAGTGTCTCCCTGATGGTCAGGTTGCAGGGCACAGGAGGGAGGGTGCCATCCTCTGCTGATGTGGTGTGCTGGTGGCCTCGCTGGGGTCACAGCTGATGGCCTCATGTGCACGGTATCCTGTGGCTGCAGGTGAAGTCTAGTTTAAAACTCTGGTGTGGCTCCTTTTGCATGCACCAGCTTGCAGCTTGGGTTCTGGGTATCCTTTATGTGTGCCCACTGCGTGGTGGGGGCCGCAGGGTTGGACTGCTGGCTGGGCTCTGAGCAGGAGGGATCTGGCTGGCAGGGACTCTGGGGGTCTACATCCGAGTGTCAGCACAGCCTGGGTGCAATGGTGGCAGCTGTCCTTTGGGTCTCTGACTCCTGTCACTTGGCAGAGATCCTGCAAGAAGCTTTCTTTGACCCTGGCATCATTAGTTCTTTTCTAAAGGATTTGCTATTTTATTTTTTTTTTAAAAATATTTTTTAGTTGTAGGTGGATCTTTATTTTATTTATTTATATATGGTGCTGAGAATTGAGGCCAGTGTCTCGCACACGCGAGGCAAGTGCTCTACCACTGAGCCACAATCCCAGCCCAGGATTTGCTGTTTTATGACTTTGTTTTCCAAATGTCGAATTGGTGTGGTCGCCTTCCAGAATGTGTGCGTTTCCTGTTTGGACTTGATGTTAACTTATAGTTCAGGTGTCTAAAGAATGTGGCGAGAGCCCTGGAGACCACTGCCCAGGGAGACTTCCAGCAGTGTGTCCAGTTTGTCTGGAAGCCTCTGCCCTGTGCTTCAACTCTTACTCGTG